CCCCCACGGCGCGCTATGATTGGTGGATGGGGATTCAGGAGCCATCAGCAGCCGCCGCCCCCCGGCTTGAGAGCTAGAATGCTGCTCAGATTGGACAAAGGGCTAAGCGGGCGTAAAGTGGTTGGTGGGGCTGAGGAGGCTTGAGCCGTGATTGGCCAACAGGCCTGACCGTGCCCTGGATGCCCCTGCTCAGGACCGTGGCCGCGATAGGCGCCCTGAGCGGCGCGCAGCTATTCTCGCTGCAGAAAGATAAGTTTCGGGCGCTGAGCCCCGAGGAGGGGGCGCGCGTGTACAGCCAGATCACAGTGCAGCGCTCGCTGCTGGAGGTGAGGCGGGCGCTCGTCCCCGAGCCCGGGCTGGGGAGGGCGCTGAGGTCTCTGTCTCCAAGGTCCTGATTTTCCACCCCCCCGCCCCACTCCAGGACAAAGAGAAAGTGTCAGAGCTGGAGGCGGTAATGAAGAAGCAAAAGAAGAGGATGGAAGACGAGGTGGAAACGGAAGTCATTTGATCCTTCCCCGCCCCTCCGCTAAATTTCCAGGAAGCAGCCCCGCGGGAGAACGGACTCTACCAACCCCCACCAACGGAAGTAGATCCCTCCAGGGACCACCGACCTGTTCCAGCCTTGGTCTTACCCCGTCCGGTTAGATAAATCGGCCCGTCCTTAATGGAGTCTCCTGAGAAGTGCTCTCGTATTGGCCGAGAACGGGCACTGAGACAATTTAGGGCAAGTGCTTGCGCTCGGGAGCCCTGTGTATTGTGATAATGCTACCCAGTCTATAAACAGCCTCCTCTTAGCAGGCGGTGTCAACTGCTGCCCCTTCTCTACCCGGGTACCAGGGGCCAGGAACCTGCCCCTCACCCCAGCAACAGCCTCACAGGAAAGGAATCTAGCAGATCTCCCCACTCTCTTTAGTTTCTCTGAATCCTCCCAACTCAGGCTTCCTCCTGACCTCCCAGCCTCCAGTCTATCCTCTAGTTCACTCCAGAGGCATCTTCTGAACACCCAAGGCCCCAGTCCACCCCTTGCTCAAAATCCTTTTCTGGCTCCCCGTCGCCGTCTTAGCCCCATAGCCTGGCATTCAAGGCCCTGAGTGGTTTGGTCCCTACATCTCCAACCTCGTCCTCACCTCCTCATCCTCAGTGCATTCTGGTCCTGCCCTTCTCCACACACTCCCCAAACCCCTTCAACCACTGGAGTTTTAACAATTGCTGGTTTCTGCTGGCTGGAACGATTCTCTGCCTGTTGAACTCCTATTCAGCTGTCCTGACCCAGCTCAAATACCCTCTTTGGAAAAGCCTGCCCTTATCCCCTAGGTTAGTCTCCCAGCATCCACTTTTACACCTTGTTCTCCACCTCCAGCCACGGGTCCAGCTACGGAGAAGTGGCTGCCTCCTGAATGTGTCACAGGCTTCCTGGCCACTCTTCATCCTGTGAGACGACGGCCTAACAGGAAGCTTCCTACCTCCTCGGCAACAGCTCCTTTTCCCTCTGGCCAGCCAGCAACTTTTTCCCGTCATCTGGGTGGCTGGCGAGGCTGGTTTGGGACTGGTTTTCTCTGGATCCCAACCTGGTTCAGCTTGGACGCTTCTGCTTCCCCAGAATGCCCCCTGACAAGCTCCCCTCCCCACCCCAACCAATTCCTGCT